ATAATAATTGCAATCATTTATCAAAAATCTCGCTAAGAAGTGGTCCCATGAGCTGAGGCTCAGATTCCACGCCATTCCTCCACAGTATACCACTTAAGACACAAATATCTGGCATTATATTCATTAACGCCATGAACTTTGCCCTCATTTCACTGTCTGAACGATATTTTAATAGAAAATAGCGTTGAAGTAAATGGAGATATGATTTCTGCTGAAGTCTAACATAAAAAGCATTTAAATTATTAATTGATAATCAATTTGTGATACCATTTATAACTTACTTAACCAACTGTTTATGTCTGAGATTTGGACGATTCGGGTTAAACAAGAGGATGGCCGTGAACTAGATCAAAATTAAAATGCAATTTCTAAACTTAGCGACAAATTACTACATTAATCAAATCAAATGTGTAGTTACCAAGTTCATAATAAGTGGGTCGTTGTCTACGGCGGGTATGAATTTAGTGAGAAATGTTTTGTACGCCTCGTAAACATTGTTCCTCTCGTTCTTAAGGAAATCCAAGCGAAGTAAAGACGCGTTATTCTCGTCCTTCATATGTAAACATAATTAAATAACAATTAATTATTTAAAAACAATTAAAAGCATCTAGGAACATACAGTATTAATAGACCAACATTTTGTGTTTGGGTCAAAAATAAGTGCCGAGCGCACATTAATTATCTCGATGGCCCCGTACTTGACCAGGGCTATTTTATCGTTCTGGCAGAGCTGGTTAAATGCCCGAACATTATTGGTTAGTTTGGGAAAGTTTAATATCTCTTTTGTGAATTTATACGTAAGTTTTACTCTATATTCTAACATATTGTTGATTATAGACGTGACTTCACTGATGGGCTCTTGTATTAGATCCGTTGCGAACAATATTTCGGTCAATTTATTTCCTTCTAATTCGTTGAAATTGTTTCGATAGTCAGTCAATGGTCTCGATATGGGAACCACTGCTGAACACTGATTGATAATAGGCTCCGATGTGTTGTATTGGCTATTATTAGTGTCCAGAAATGATCTCTCGAAGTCATCGATGGCTAAATCAATGTCCTCTTCTGTATAACTATAGTCTTCGGGACTCGTTATGATCGCATCCGAAGACTCGTAACACTTCTCGCTATTATTTGATGAATTGTTGGGCGAATCGGTTGTGGAGTCGATAATCGCATTGTTTTCATTATCAACTTTATTGTGATTAACTTTTTTTGATTTTAATCGCATTTTATTAAATCGTTTCTCGTCTTCAGTAAGTATTAGATCCTTAAAACAAATTAACAATTAATTAAAAATTTTAATTCACCCAAAATGACACACAATTTTCATTTCCACAGCAAAACACTTCTTCAGACGACATCTTTGGCAGAATTTTCGGGTCAATAAACTTATCTCACATTTGTCTCCGAAATGACACTTCAAATCCTGTTCACAAAAAAACACATTTAATAAATTCAATAAAATTAATACAATATTACTATTAGTGAAAAATGCATAAAACTTTATACAAGTTTTTCAATCAATATTTACCTTAAATTTATTTGAATTCCTGCGAAAAAAGGCTTTACAAGAGACACAAGTAATTGCACCGAAATTAAAATCTATGTAAAATTAAATGCATTAAAATTAGTATTGTAAATTGAATTAACTCAACAAGGTGACACAACAAATATTAAATACTTACTAGCTGCTACATCTCCACAAACGGTACACTTTTTGTTAAATTTTCTTTTGTCAGGCATTTTCTACCAATCATTTATTGGTTCATAAATAACTGAATTGTAATTAAATTGTGGTAAATTTTAAAATATTTAAAATTAACTTAAAACACAAACTCATAATTAGTTTAATACATATTTAATAATATTTTAATACATATAATGTTGATTATTTCATAAATCTCTACGACAACCGCAAATACACTTGTAATCTGTTATTTAGAAAACTAATTATAAGTACACTATATATCAATTCTTACTTTGATTTAATTAAGTAGCACTTTATGCAGTATATCACGTATAATACAATAAAATGAACATGATAATAATACTAATGCTAATTTATAATTAAAACACTAAATAAAACAGAATTAATAATACAAACAAATAAATTCATTTGACAAATAGCAACATTGAACATATTCATTGAATAATATTCAACATCGATCGGAGTTTGCGTTATTGCAAAAATAATGTACAGTATATTATTAATATTTGATATTTATTTTACAATAATTATATCACCAGAATCACGAATTATTATTTGTCAAAAGAAATATATTTTAGCCTAATGTTATTTACAGATATTTTTAGATTTTATTGATGTATTTGCAGTAATGTTGTTTGTATTATAGCTATTCATTGACTACCATGATGTAAAAGTTAAGTACAATTAAACTAAAAGTTAATTGACGTTTTGAAGGATCATTGGATTTGCATCACTAGTTTCAAGGCTACACTTATTGTGGGAAATATAAATATAACACAATTCTTATAGCCTAATATCGACTTTAAAATTAAAAAATTGTAAACTAGACAAAAATAGTAATTTTTAATAAATTCTGATAAAAATTCAAATTAAAAAAATTCAATATTTTATTAGTCCATTATTTATACAAAGTTTGTTGATTTAATGACAGACTCTCTGGTGTCGAGCATTTCCCTGAGAAGGGGTCCGATGTATTCGGGCGGCGCCTCCGAGTAGTTGGTGAAGTGAATGGCACTTAATTGATGCAAATTCTCCAATCCGTCCATTAGTTTCAATAGTTTCTCATCACTTTGTGTCCGATATTTCACTTTTAAGTACTTTTGCAGTAAATGCATATAAATATGTTTTTGACAGCTATTTTCACAATAAAAATAATTTTTAAAAACTCAATAAAAATATATTAAATCAATGAATTTAAATTTGCAAACAATTCATACTTCACTAAATCCCTGTGTATAAGATGTGGTCTGTGATCGTTAAACAACACTATTATTGTTAACTATCAATAAATATACAGTGAATTAAACCTTTAATTAATATTTAAAACTATTTATCAAATACCAAATCAAGGATCACAAAATCTGAGTCCCATTCGGTTCCGACTAAATGCAAAAAATTTCTATAAAATGTGAAAAGATTTCGTCTGGCATTTGACAATAAATCCAATTTCATGACCACCATGTTGTTTGTGTCCTAATATTTAATTAAATCCATATAATTAGCAAACATTTTACACATTTTCCAATAAATAAGTAACACTTGCGGTGATAAAAGTCCAAAACTGTTTCTCGATGTTATAAGTGGTGATTAAACGCAAACAAAACATTTCCAGCGATCCGTACTTTAATAGCGAGATCTTATCGTTTTCGCACATACTTTGAAATGCGGTCAAACTGTTGGACAGTCTAATGAATTTGTAGGCATCCCTCTCGCAGTTGTAGGAAAAGGCACGACAGGCCATATCCAGGTCCGTCACTTCGGCCACTAATTTGCTTTTATATTGATTTTTCAATTCATTCAATATAGTCATCATCTCTCGGAGACGAGTGCTCTCCCACTCGGCCAGTGGTCTCTTGTCATCGATGAGTTTATCGATAATAACAACACCATGGTCACAATCATTTGGTTCACCACGATGTACGATACCATCGCAACTGCTCTTGGTATCAGTTGTGGCCACCGATTCTTGGGACGAGTCGCCAGTGTCTGAATCGGCCGATGGTTTGCAATCGTTTACTTGTTTTCGTATTTTTCTCATCTGTTTTTGCTCTTCGGAGAGAATATATTCCTATAAATTATAACAAAAATGTAATGACTTTTATATTTGCAAACATAAAGTAATCCAATAATTAATGATTACTTTTTTCATTCCCGAATCGAAGCACTTCTGAAGTCGACATTTGCGGCACAACTTTCTGGTCGTGATATCAATACTACAATTGTCCCGAAGAGAGCACTTGTATTCCTGGGTTTGAAATAACGTTTAGAAATATATTTTAAAAATACATTTTTTGTTTCAAACCTTAAGTTTGAGTGCATTTCTTCGAAAGAAGGCTTTACACGACTCACACGTAAAGACATTGAAGTTTTTACCTAAATTTAATTTATAAAATAAGATTTAATATTTAATTTTATAACTTTAATTAATACAGACATAGAATTAATACAAAGAATTCCTGCGATAGATATGACATCTGGCCTATTATTTTTATACATTTACAATTGCTCTAAAAATATTATACTATGTATAAAATTAATAATTTAGTAATACATTATACAATATAATGTAAAATAGATAGTTTTAGTTACATAATCCTTTTTAATTGTTTATTTTAATTACAAATAAAACTATAATTAAATTAGACTTATACTGTACATGGATATTTTGCACTACATTAACAAAA